TGTCTTATATTAGACAGACCCTCCCACTGCGACTATCTAGCAAAACTGAATAAATGTAAGAGAAATGTCTTTGAAGGCATGGAGAATTACCAAGAAAGTGAGAAATTGAGGAATCAAGATCGTGGAGAGAAGGAATCATAAAGTAGTGAACCCAACATTTGGCTGTGCTTTTCCCCTTGAGGTATTTATTGATTAGTAAAGCAGTAGCTACAAGGCTAAGAAACTGGGCAAAACTTTCAACGGTCAGCCGGGCATAAGGGAACAAAAATTGTAGTTCAGAGTCTGCTGAGGAAGAGGGACCTCAGTAGACACTTGAGACTTTTCAACTGCGACCACTTAAGGCCTGTGCCTTAGAAAGAGGGGCTTACCAGAAAAAGAACAGCACTCGCAAAGGTTGAAGCTCAGCTTAATTCCCAAACCCTGTCTGTTTGTTGCTGTTTTTAGTTGCCGTTGAGTCAGCTCCAACCTTATGTTTAACCGAATGAAACATTGCCCAGTCCTGCACCATCTTCATGATATGTTTGAGCCCGGTGTTGTGGCTATTGTGTTGATCCATCTCATCAAGGGGTTCCCTCACTTTCACTGACTCTGTACCAAACATGAGTCTCCCAGGTTGTAATGAACTCTAAATACTACTTGGGAAGAGCTGCCCTCTCAAAGGAGAGTCAACCTTAATGATGCAGGAGGAGTAAGGGCTTTGAGACCTTCATTTGCTGATATGGCCGAACTCAAAATCTATTAGTAATGGTACACAGAATGTACAAAGTGTGAATCAAGGAAAATTGGAAGTCGTCAAAAATGAAATGGAATGCTTGAAAATTTATATCCTAGGCATTTTTTTTTTTTTCTTTCTTTTTTTAATTTTATTTTATTGTGTTTTGGGTGAAAGTTTACAGCGTAAAGTATTTTCTTGTTCAAAAATTTATGCACAAATTGTTTTGTGACATTGGTTGTAGGTCCCAGCAACGTGTCAGCACTCTCCTCCTTTCCCTTTACAACCCAGCTTCGTCCAGGTTTCCTGTCCCTTCCTGCCTTCTCATCCTTGCTTTTGGGCAGGTGTTGCCCATTTGGTCTTGTATACTTGATTGAACTAAGAAGCATGTACCTCACTTGTGTTATTGTTTGTTTTATAAGCCTGTCTGATGTTTGGCTGAAAGGTGGACTTCGAGAATGGCTTCTTTTCTGAGTTAGCAGGGTGTCCGGGGGCCATAGTCTCGGAGGTTCCTCCAGTCACTGTCAGACCAGTGATTGGTCTTTTTTAGTGAATTTGAATTCCATTCTACATTTTTCTCCCGCTCTGCCCGGCACCGTCTGTTGTGATCCCTGTCAGAGCAGTTGGTGGTGGTAGCTGGGCACCATCTAGTTCTGGGCTCAGGCTGGTGGAGGCTGTGGTTTATGCAATCCATTAGTCCTTTAGACTAATATTTTCCTTGTGTCTTTGGTGTTCTTCATTCTCCTTTGCTCCAAGTGGGTTGAGACCAATTGATGCATCTTAGATGGCCACTTTAATACCCCAGATACCACTCACCGAAGTAGAATGTAGAACATTTTCTTTATGAACTATGTTATACCAGTTGACCTAAATGCCCCCCGAGACCATGGTCCCCAGCCCTCAGCCCCAGTAACTTGGTCCCTCAAGGTGTTTGGATGTGTCTAGGAAGCTTCTATGACTTTGCTTTGGTCAAGTTATGCTGACTTCCCCTATATTGTGTGTTATCTTTCCGTTCACCAGAGTTAACACTTGTCTACTATCTAGCTAGTGATTTTAGCTCCTCACTCCTCCCCTCCCTCATAACCATCAAAGATTGTTTTTTTTTCTGTGTGTAAACCTTTTCTTGGGTTTGTGTGTGTGTGTGTGTGTGTTTTAGATGAAAGTTTACAGCTCAAGTTAATTTCTCATACAAAAGTTTATACACGTTGTTATGTAACATTAGTTGCAGTCCCTATAATGTGACAGTGCACTCTCCCTTTCCACCCCAGGTTTCTTGTGTCCATTCAGCCAGTTCCTGTTCCTTCCTGCCTTCTTATCCTGCCTCTTGGGCAGGAGCCACCTATTTGGTCTAGTGTATCTGCTTGAACTAAGAAGCACACTCTTCACTAATATTATTTTATGTTTTATAGTCCAGTCTAATCTTGTCTGAAGAGTGGGTTTTGGGGAAATAGTTTTAGTTCTGGGTTAACAGAGCGTCTGGAGCCATAGTCTCAGGGTTCCTCCAGTCTCAGTCAGACCATTAAATCTGATCTTTTTATGTGAATTTCAGTTCTGCTCCACACTTTTCTCCTGCTTCATCAGGGACTCTCTGTTGTGTTCCCTGTCAGGGTGGTCATGGATGGTAGCTGGGCACCATCGTAGTTCTTCTGGTCTCAGACTGATGGAGTCTTTGGTTTACTTGGCCCCTTATGTCTCTTGGGCTGATATTTTCCTTGTGTCTTTGATATTCTTCATCCTCCTTTGCTCCAGGTGGGTTGGGACCAATTGATGCATCTTAGATGGCCGCTCGCTAGCTTTTAAGACCCAGATGCCACTCACCAAAGTAGGATGCAGAACATTTTCTTAATAAACTTTGTTATGCCAGTTGACTTAGATGTCCCCCGAAACCATGGTCCGCAGACCCCAGCTACTCTGTCGCTCAAGGTGTTTGGTTGTGTTCGGGAAACTTCTTAGGTTTTGCTTTAGTCCAGTTGTTCTGACTTCCCTTGTATTGTGTGCTGTCCTTCTCTTAACCTAACATGATTCTTCTTTACTATCTAGTTAGTGAATTCCCCTTTCCGTCCCTCTGCACCCTTGTAACCATCAAAGAGTGTTTTCTTCTGTGTTTAAACTTTTTCTTGAGTTCTTATAATAGTGGTCTCATACAATATTTGCCCTTTTGCGACTGACTAATTTTACTGAGTATAATGACCTCCAGATTCATCCATGTTGTCAGACGTTTATCGTGGATTCGTCATTGTTGTTTATCATTGCATAGTATTCCATTGTGCACATATGCACCATAATTTGTGTATCCATTCATGTGTTAGTGGGCACTTAGGTCGTTTCCAACTTTTTTCTATTGTGAATAATGCAACAGTGAACATGGGTGTGCATATGTCTATTCGTGTGACAGCTCTTATTTCTCCAGGATAAATTCTAGGAGTGGGATTGCTGGATCATACAGTATTTCTATTTCTAAAACTTTTTAAGGAGGTGCCGTATTATTTTCCATAGTAGTTGTACCATTTTACATTCCCACCAGCAGTGCATAAGAGTTCCAGTCTCACCACAACCTCTCCAACATTTGTTATTTTCTGTTTTGTTGATTCGTGCCAGTAGTGTCACTGTGAGATGGTTTCTCATGGTAATTTTGCTTTGCATTTCTCTAATGCCTAATGATCGCGAGCATTTCCTCATGTGTCTGTTAGCTGCTTAAATGTCTTCTTTGGTGAAGTGTCTGTTCATATCCTTTGCCCATTTTCTCATTGGATTATTTGTCTTTTTGTTATTGTGGTATTAAAGTACTCTATAGATTTTAGAGATTAGACCCTTGCCAGATATGTCATAGCCATTTTTTTTTTCTAGTCTGTAGGTTCTCTTTTTATTCTTTGGTGAAGTCTTTTGATGAGCATAAGTATTTAATTTTTAGGAGCGCCCTGTTATCTAGTTTATCTCCTGGTGTTGGTGCATTATTAGTTATGGTTTGTATTCTTACATCCTAGGCATTTGTTGTTGTGTGCTGTCAAGTCAGTTCCACTCATAAGAACCCTATACGACAGAGTAGAACTGCCCCATAAGGTTTCCTAGGCTGTAATCTTTGTGGGAGCAAATCACAAGGTCTTTTCTCCCACGTAGCAACTAGTGGATTCCAACCACTGATTTTCAGTTAGCAGCTAAGCGCTTAACCATTGTGCCACTGGGGCTCCTTTCCTAGTATTAGTTAGCTGAAATGGACTGGTTTTGGCCGTTTTGAACCTGACAATCATTATGATCTACTATACCTGGAAAAACAAACTGGAGAGGAACAGAATTGCATTCATCATTTAAAAAACATTTTGAGATCTGTCCTGAAGTACAGCATGGTCAATGATAGGTTAATATCTATACGCTTACAAGGAAGACCAGTTAATATGAGTGTTATTTAAATTTTACCACGAATGCCACAGATGAAGAAACTGAAGATTTTTACAACTTTCTGCAGTCTGAAATTGATCAAACATACAATGAAGATGCATTGATAATTACTGGTGATTGGAATTGAGAAAGTTAGCCAGGATATTACAAGAAGGAGAATGTACAGGCCAGTTTCTCTTATGAACATGGATGCAGAAATCCTAAACTAAAAAAATAGTCAATTTATTACAGAAAGATGATACATCATGACCAGGTTAGGTTTGTCCCAATAATTCAGTGTTGTCTTATTATTCAAAAATCAGTTAATGGGATTAACCATATTAATAGAGAAAAGGAGTAAAAAATGGTAATCTCAATACATGGGGGTGAGGGGGGAGCATGTGTTAAAGTTCAGTACACACTAATGTTGAAAAAACAAACAACAACAACAGAAAAAACCCTTTTAGCCTGCTAGGAATAGAAGGGGATTTCTTTAGTTTGATAAGGATATCTACAGAAATCTTATAGCGGATGTGACACTTAATGGTAAAATGCTGAAAGTTTTCTCTGAAAGCAGGAACTAAGCATGGAGACCATCACCACTCCTTTTCAACATGTCCTAGAAGTTCTAGCCAGAGCATTATGGCAAGAAAAAAAATTGTAAGGATAGGGAAAGAGGAAATAAAGTTCTCATCTTATAGATGACGTATTCTGAATGAATGGTAAGTAATACATTTACAGATAATCTTTCGGATTATGTCATTTTAACTAATATCTGATAGCATTCCTATCATTTTGATTCTGCCTAAGTTCATTCCTAGTATGTAGAAATCACTTCAGTTTCTGGAGACACCTTGTCATTCCCCAGGTACATGTAAACGCATCTTATTTCTACTGTTTTCTTTCTCTGCAGGTCGTATCTGACTCCTGTACGGGATGAGGAAGCAGAATCTTTACGGAAAGCGCGCTCCAGACAAGCTCGGCAGACCCGAAGGTCTACTCAAGTGAGTGTGACCTTTTTATTTTTTTTTATGTCTATCTACCTTTACATTGTTAAGTACAGTTAAAAAAAAAAAAAAAGGTAAAATGAGTACCTTCTTCCAGCCACTATATTTTAAGAGCTTTCACCTGTGTTAATCTTATGTTGTATATAATCTGTGCAAGGATGACATGCAAATTTGTGAAGCATTTCATATTTTTTTCGGAGCCCTGGTGGCGCAGTGGTTAAGAGCTCAGCTGCTAACCAAAAGGTCAGCAGTTCAAATCTACCAGCGGCTCCTTGGAAATCCTATGGGGCAGTTCTACTCTGTCCTGTAGGGTCGCTGTTAGTTGGAATCGACTGGAGGGCAACGAATTTGGTTTTTTGGTTTGTATAGAATCAAATCAATTTATAGCTATACCACCCACTCTCGCCTCTATTCCTCCAGACTCAGAGCAGGTTTATCTCGTTCACAAGACTAACCATTCCACTTGTACTTAAAGGATCACATTTTAAGAATCCGTAAGGGATGGTGCAGCTACTTTGGAAAACATTTTGGCAGTTCCTCAAAATGTTAAATATAGAGTTACCATATGAGCCAGCTATTCCACTTCTAGGTATATTTACCCAAGAGAAATAAAAACATATGTCTACACAAAAACTTGTCATGGATGTTTATAATGGCATTATTCACAGTAGCCAAAAAGTGGAAACAACCCAAATGTCCATTAACTCATGATGGATAAACAAAATGTGATATATCCATACAATGGAATATTATTTGTCAATAAAAAGGAATGAAGTGCTGATCCATGCTACAATGTGGATGAAAACATTATGCTAAGTGAAAGAAGCCAGTCACAAAAGACCACATACTGTATGATTTCATTTATACGAAGTGTCCAGAATAGGCAAATCTATAGAGACAGAAAATATATTAGTGGTTGCCAGAGACTGTAGGGATGGAGGAATGGGAAGTGACTGCTGTTGGATACAAGATTTCTTCACGGGATGATAAAAATATTTTGAAATTAGATAGCAGTGATGGTTGTTCAGCTCGTGAATATACTTAAAATCACTGAATACAATTTAATTTAAAGGGGTGAATTTTATGGTATGTGAATTTTATGAATTTTATATCTCAATAAAAATGTTACATAAAAATAAAAAGACTCCCTATGGGAGCCATCAAAACAGTTTAAGGAAGGGTGTAATATAATCAGTATTTTATTTTATAAAAATCACCATACTGAGGATTGATGGGAGTGGCAGGTAGAAGTATGACTGTCAAGCCTAGACACAAGAAGGCCTGTTAGGAAGCTGTTGTAGTAGTCCAAGCTGTAAATGACAAGGGCATGAACTCAGGTTGTAATGCAGTAAGAATGGAGAGAAGCCTATGAAGTAGAGTTATTTAAGGAGGCAAGGGAAGATGAGCTAATGAAGCAGAACAAAAAGGAGCAACCAGAGTAGTAAAAAGAAAACCAGGAAATAGTAGCAGCATCGGAATGAATGAGAAGTCAGTTTACAGTGAGAAGGAGAAGTTCAACAGTTTTAAATGCTACAAAAATCAGGTAGGAAAGCTGAGGACTGAAGCTGAGTACAGAAAAAGGGACGTTATTCATAGCTGCAAAAAGGTCTTTGTAGAGTGATGGGGCTAGAAGCCAAACTATTCAAACTCTTCCCTTACCTTCTGTTACACAGTGCTCTCCTGATTTTTCCTTTCCTCTGTGGTCCTTCCTTCACTGTCTCCTTTGCTAATCATCCTCTCTCCAGCCATTAAATGTTGGAAGTCCTCAAGATTTGGTCCTCGGTTCATGTCACTTCTCACTTTGTATTCCTAGGCAATCTAATCCTAATCAATCTAATCTAATATTTATAGATCTAGTTCATGGGTTCCCTTCCAGTATTCTGCATATTAGTGAAGAGAATCAACATCCATCCAGTCACACACACACACACAACCTAGAAATCATCCTTAACACCTCGTCCCCCTTCATTACCCCATTATCTATTCCATCACCACTTTTGCTGTTTTACTTCTTAAATTTCTTTCAGATTTATTTACTGCTTCCACCTTACCTCCCTTATCCAAGTTACCATTATTATCTCTTAGCTACTTCACTCAAGACTTGTCTTCTTGCATCTGTTTTCATGTATCCTTCCTGTTTTTCCTTTTTAAAAAATAATTTTGTAAAAATCAAAGCAATGCATACATATAGCTAAAAAAAATCAAATAGCATGAAAAGTCTGATAGCTTCTATGAATTATAACCTGCCTCCCACCCCACCCCAGACTTGCATTGTGTTCTGCATTTGGCAACCAGAGGTATTTTCAGCATAAAAGCTTAACATGTCTTCCCCTGCCTAGAGCTTTTCACTGACTTCCCTTTGTTCTTAGGATAGATGCTGTATCTTCAGCATGACCTGTGAGCCCTTCAGTCATCTGCCCTTGGCTGCTTGTCTGGCCTTATCTTACCCTACTTTCCCCTTTGCACTGAACTCAGGCCACACATGACATGCTTCCTTGTGTCGTACATAAGGCCTTTGCACGTGTTCTTTCCTCTGCCAGGAACTCTCGTCTCAGTATCTTCACCTAGTTAACACCTACTCCTTCTTTAGATCTTGGCTTGATTGTCAATCCTCTGAGAAACCTTCCCTGACCCTCTCCAAACTAGGTCGAGTATCCTTTATAGTTATTATAACCATTGTTATTTTGGTTTTGCTTGATGATTACTTGTCTGTTTCTCCTATTAGAATGTAACCTCTGTGAGGACCAAGACTGATTATATTTTTGCTCAGTATCTTTTCCCCAGCGTACAGTTGTTCTAGGGTAAAAACATCACAAAGTCTAGTAAAGCAAAAAGAAAAGTTTTATTTGGCATATATTCAAAGAGGCAAAAGTAGGAAACAGACAAGCATGCTGGTAAGTATAAACATTACAAATGGGCAAAACCATTGAAAGCTTCACCTTTTCACAGATTGGCTAGAAACTGTTAAGTCACATTTCTACATTTTGAATCCTCTTTCTTAACAATCCTTGGTACATGTTTCCATAAGAACAGTCAGGAGGGTCTTCATTGGTCCAACAAATTTCCTATTCACTAAATGCTAATAGAAAAAGATAAGAGTGGAAAGTCTTTTGTGCTCTGTTTCATTAGTTTATGTGAAAGGTTCCCTAAAAGATGTTTTCCAGGATTGTCCTAGCTATTGTCTTTATACCTCAGGGCCCAGTTGATGTGTCCTTGTGAGTCCTTGTGGGTCCTTGTGAGTCCAGCTCCAGCTGGGTCACATTCTAGGACAGGGAATAATGGCTCCAATATTATCTCCTAAATCACAGTAAATAAACAATCAAATCTTTTTTGAATAAATGAATGAGGAATAAATGGTAGGGTAAACTACTCTGGAATGATTTCATGTTTGCTTGTGAAGGGATAAAAAAAGATAGAGAAGTAACCAGAGGGGAACATAGAATGAAAGTTGGGAGAGACTGGGACACTATATATCTTGAAAGGAAAGATACAGTAGAGAGAGTGAAAGTCTGTGTCAGAACTTGAAGGGATCTTAAAATGTGCACATAACGTTAGAGAAGATTTTACTAGATTGTCATTAGTCTTCATGAGATTCTCAAAGGGACCCCTAGCCCCCAAAAGAAGATCTATCCAAAGGGTAAAATCCATGCTGCTTAGCATGACATACAGGATTATCACCTAACCTTTGCTGCTTTCCTAAATTCATCTATCCCCCTTCCACCACCACTCCCCCAACTTCCCTTTCTTCTGTGGGGTGCTTTACTTTTGCTAAGTTATTACAGAGTTTTGAATCACTCACGGCCTCGCTTGTCCCTGTATTGTTGCACAGAGGCCCTCTATCCATAATATCTTTTTTTCTCCTCTCCCTCCCCCAACTCTTTTTTTTTTTTAACTCTTCAAAACCCAGTGTTAGGTCTGCCTCTTATGTACTCTTGTGTTTCTGTCTTAATGCTTACGTTCCATTATAAAAACCAAAACTCATTGCCGTGGAGTCATTTCCAACTCACAGCGACCCTATAGTAGAACTGCCCCGTAAGGTTTCCAAAGAGCAGCTGGTGGATTCGAACTGCCAACCTTTTGGTTAGCAGCCTTGGTTCTTAACCAGTGTGCCCCCAGGGATCCCATTCCATTATAGTCATCTGTTTTCTTATCTCTTTTCCCCTGGATTAAGAGGTACTTGAGTACAGAAATTATTTGCTTTGTCTTTGTAATTCCACTTAATGATTCTTTATTAAGAGAATGAGTGAATAAATGAATGGATAGTAAAAAAGCAAGTTGTGGGTATGGTATCTGCTCAACTGATTTTCAGCTTTGGAACTTTCCCCTTCTGAGAACTTCAGCACATAACTACTTAAGTATGAATCAGCTCACTTTCTTCCTAACTCCTTTTCTCTCTTCTCCTGCAGATATAGGTATCTCTTCATCATTTGTTTTTTTTTTTTCTTCTATCTTGCTGTCCTTTTGTTCCTGCTGGGGCAACATTAATTGTTGGAATGTCTCTCGATGATTCCTAGAGCTACTTGGGAAGTGGTGTTAGAGGAAAAATTAGTCTTAAGTTTTTTTTGTTTGTTTGTTTGTTTTGGTGGTGGTGGTTTTAGTGTGGCTCTGAATTTTTACCTTTTTTTGAAATTGGTTTTGCTTTCTATGAGTTCAATTAAATTTTTCTAGTATCTGATGTTCAGATAATCTCAGTTGATCTCCCTTTGATCTTGGGAGGGTAGGGAGCTTTCAAACAAAGATGTTGAGAATTGTTTGGAACGGAAAAAGTATGTCTACCACAGGCAGACCTCAATGTTGACCTATTTTCTGGAGATCAAATTGAAAAAGCTAAAGTATTACATTTGAAATATGCTTGGACTGAGGTCTAGATTCTTTGCATACTGAGCTGCTTATTTTAAGCATGTATTGCTGCAATGGCCTCATTATGCATTTTGGAATCTTCATTTGGAATTTGATACTATTAGATCTTTTAGAGTTGTTCCATGGTTAATATGAAACTGAAGACCATCTCTCTTCCCTGACCTTGTGTTATTTTCCCAGGGTGTAACCCTAACAGACCTTCAAGAGGCAGAAAGAACTTTCAGCCGGTCGAGGGCAGAGCGGCAAGCTCAGGAGCAGCCTGGCGAGAAGCCTGTAGACACCGAAGGGCTTGAGGGCAGCACAGAGAAGCATGAGCCTTCAGCAGTGCCCGCAAAGGAGACTGGGGAGGGCCGACAGCCCCGGGGCGGGAGCCTGGATGAAGAGGTAAGTAAGCTCATTATTGCTGACATACACTGTGCTAAAAGCAGGATAATTCATGTGGGGGATCTCCCACACTGATAGTTCAAGCGCTGTGTTCTGTCTAGCAGTGGACTACTGCTAGAAAGCACTGCTTATCACTGCTTTCAGTTAGCAAACCTGTGTGACTGAAAGAATTCAGGGAATGTCAGTTTTTAAGGGACTTTTTTTTTCCTCTAAGAGTCATAGTATCATAAAATACAAATAAAAATATAAGCATTTATTGAGTTCTTATGTTTTGCCAGGCAGTATTTTAAGTATTTCATATGTATGAATTCATTTAATCCTTAAAATGCCCCTATGAGGTAGATACTATTATTGCTGTTTTGCATGTGAGGAAATTGAGTCACAGAGAAGTTAAGTCACTTATCCAAGCTAACATACAGCTAATCAAGCACAGTTTTGAACCTAGTCAGTGTGGCTCCACAGCTTGCACTCCTAACCACTAGGATGTTGCTTCTCCAAGCTCCTGCAAACCTAAGAGCTTACAAATCACTCCTTAGTCCCATGTCACAAAGTATCACTGTTGGGATGAACATTTTGACTTTTGCTCCATTTGTCAAGTGGAATTGGTAGTCATAGCTATAGGGTTGTATTTAGGGTGAACATCCCTCCTGGTTTACCTATGGTGGTGCCAGTTACACGTGTTATTCCTGTGTAGTTATCAATACTACTCCTTTTCACTCTCAGAAGTATCTTGGTTTAGGTAATAAATTTTATGATCATCACAGTTTTAGGATAAAGGAACCACCTTCTTGCTTTAACTCTGAATGACGGAGCTCCATAAACTAAGGTTCTATTGTTCGTTTTGTTTATCAGCCACTTTTTATTGAGAGCTTATTACCAGGTGGGGTTGCCATGATTCAGAATTGACTCGACAGGAACAGATTTGGAGTTTTGTTTTGTTTTGGTTTTGGTTTATGACCAGATACTGTTCTGAGCACCGAACATACATTATCTCATATGATTCTCAAAGCCCTCTCTTTGAAGAAAGGTGTTATCCCTATGTTAAGGATGAGGAAGCTGAGGCTTAGAGACGTTAAGTAACTTGGTCATGGTCAGATAGCTAGTAAGTGCTGAAACTAGAGTTTGAGCCAAGTTCTGTCTGACTCCAAAGCTTACTATATTTTATTGCTTCTATCTTTATAACTTATAAAAGAAAAAGTATACAATCTGCCATAAACGTAATGCATATAAGAATTCTCTATCTCTGCATCTTTAATGAACCAGGGTAAGGCTTACCATCAGGCTCTATCTGTCCTAACTCTAAGACAAAAAAACAAAAGAAAAATTCTAACAAGCATGGGTATGGCAGGTTAGCAGAATACTCAGAAATTGGTAGAATGCTTGGCTGTGTTGCCTGTTATCAGATAACCCCTCTATTCTGCTTCTTTGTATTCCTGAGCTTTTGATTTTCCTACATAAACCTTGCCTTTCAGCTCTCTATCTTAAAAGGACCATCATTCTCCCTATAAAGGACTTTTATTAGCAAGGTTAATGCCGTCTAGTTGCCCTTTGCTCAGCTTAGGAATGATTTGCCTGGACTGCTACCAGTGTGATGGTGTTATCAGAGTAACAGTTCAGAAGCTCTTTCCTTTCTGGTCAATTAAGTGACTTTAGTCCAGTTCAATAACTATTTATTGAGCACCTACTACTAATAAGCCTCTTGATATAGGAAAAAAGCCCATTTCGAATAAACCTGCTATTCTCTGGTTGGATTTGACCTCTAACATCTCATCCTGCGCATTATTTCCAGCCTGTCTATCGTCGCCTGAGGTGTCCAGCTAAGCCAGACAAACCCACAACACTAGTGTCTCCCTCTGCGTCAAGACCCTCACTCTACACCAGTTCCCCTCTGCTACGGACAAGTAGGTCTGCAGTCCCCGATTCTGAGAATTCAGAGACTACCACAAACACAGGAAAGGAAATGGACAAAAATGGTATGTAGAGCTTCATTAAATGCAGGTTCCCTCCCCAGTGCATGTGCCCCATGTCCTTAAGACCCGTGCTTTGTTTTATCTCTGGCCAGAGAGTGAAGAAGCAGATTTAGATAATCAGTCCTCCAGCAGGCTGTCCACCCGAGACAGGAGGCGGCTCAGGGATCGGCGAAGAGGCACCGGCATCAACTTCTGGACAAATGATGTAAGTGGATGGGTCTGTGCTGAGGCGCATCACATTACCCTTGGCTGCTATCTTTTCTGTTGAGTTTAAAAGAAATATAAACAGTATACCAGACTCTTGCACAAAGTGCATGCTCGTTATTTTTTTAAGCAATGAAAAATGGAACTTGCTTTAATTAAAAGAAAAAAAAGAGTCCCACAAGGCGCCATGAATCTTGCAGATTGTTGAGAAATATTACTGAGGAAAGGAGTAGAAAGACTCGACTAGCGTGGGACTCATGGTATATTCCTGCTGGATGTTCAGGGTCTACAACAGTGCAAAGCACATAGTAGGCACTCAGTAAACAATTGGTGAAGAATGAAGAAACTGGAAATTTACAACAACCATATCAGCAGATATAATAAGTGAGTAAGCATGTCCATTTTTAGCAATTCTCCTAAATACTCCCTGTAAGTCATGTCATTAGTCAACAATATCTTAGTACCTCATATAAGCAGAGGTTCCAACTAAATACGTAGGAGAACAATGAAGATTTCAAAGAACTTAAAATCTGCAAGTGACATAAATTCATTTGACTCAATTTTACCCTTTTTGGAGGAAAAAAACAAAAAACAATATAAAACACAGATTAACTTTGGCTTTAAAATAAAGGCAGGTGCACCAGTGCTTACCGACTACAAACGCACATTCAGTCCTTTAATTCACCCTCCTCCATAGCTTGTCCTGTACCTTCCTCAATAACCTTGTTGTTGGCATTTTAAAAATTAAGCAACCAGTTAACTTGAACAGAGGTCCCTGGTTACCAATGACTCATTTCAAAATTAGATAAACCATTCAGTGAGACAAGAAATTATACAATAATAATCTATTAGAAACTATTCTTTAGATAAAAGTATTTCATTGTTATAAGGCCACATAGACTGATTGCTATTGACAGAGATGAAATAAAGTTTCTTTCTTGAAGATACCCCTTGTCCAACTGTGGTTCCTTTGACGTTTTTGACTACAAGTGATGTTCCCAACCTGCCTGCCCATGACGGCTGTTAAAAGCAGTAGTAACAAAGCATCTTGTTGTCCATGTTTGAAATGCCAAGATGCATAATTGATAGGAGCTAACCTTGTTGCTTTCAAGGATGACTGTGACTGTGATCCTCTTGTTTCTCTTCCTCCTTTCTTTTCAGGAGGATGAAGCTGATGTCTCTGAAGAGGTGAAGCAGGCACTGGTAAGCGACAAGCCAGTGAGGCATGTCCCTTTAGGGCCTATCCTTGCTCTTGTGCACACAGTCTTAATAGAACAAGGAGCAAGCCCTATGCATATTTCTCGGTGGACTAATGACCATGTCAGCTTGAGGGAGAGTTTGGAGACAGACATTCCTCTGAGAGATGTCGTGGTGGGTGTTAGTCGGTGGTACTATTTGCTTATGTGGTGTAACAATGCCTGTGCTCTTGAGCAAGTTTCTTATACTTTTCCATGTCTGCTGCTAATCTCAGTTACAAGATCTGTCTTCTTTTTTTGTCTTGTGGGTATATTATTGGATTATACAAAGTACTTTGAAATCTTTGGAAGAAAAGTGAAGAGAGATACTATTTCCCTTATGGATCTACACTAATAGAGAGAAACGCAAATGTGGAGAATGTGAAACATCAGACACTCCAAAAGTCATTTATATTTGACTTTAAAATGAAGTTAAACATCTGGCATCTAATGTAACTCAGACCCCTTAAGGTCTGGCATCCTACTCTTCTCTGCATTGAAAGGACTGGGCCTAGCTTCCCTGAAAATACTCCAGGTTCCTGTAAGCCCCTCAAAGATGGTATCAAGTTACTGGTTTTCTTTTTAGTATTATTTTGCAAGAGGGAAATGATTTGATTTTGACTACATCTCTGTTGGAAATTATGTGAAAAGATGGCCCTTTTGCATCCTACAGTTTAATAAAAGTTTGTTATCAGGATAGATTTTTTTTTCCTTTTATTTTGTTGCTGTTGTTGAGAATGTACATGCAAAACACACACCAATTTAACAGTTTCTACGTGTACAATTCAGTGACATTGATTACATGCTTTGAGTTGTGTAACCATTCTCACCCTCCTTTTCTGAGTGGTTTTTCCCCCGTTAACATAAACTGACTGCCCCTTAAGGTGTCTGTCTAATCTTTTGAGTTGCTGTTGTCAGTTTGATTCCATATTGATAGTTTTTAGAAGAGCATAATGCTCAAGGCAGACATTTTTTACTAGTTAAGCTAAACTATTGTTTGGTTTTAAAAAAAACTTCAGGGAATATTTTTGGTTTAAGGTTTGAAGATTATCTCAGAGCAATAGTTTCAGGGGTTTATCCAACTTCCATGACTCCAGAATGTCTGGAATCCGTGAGAATTTAAAATTTTGTTCTGCATTTTCCCCCTTTTGATCAGGATTTGTCTATGGAGTAGTAGCTAGGCACCATCCAGTTCTTCGGGTCTGGTGGCAAAGGAGGCAGTTATTCATGGAGGCAATTAGCCACACATTCCATATCCTCCTCCTATTCCTGACTCTCCTTCTTCCCCTGTTCTTCCAGGTGAATAGAAACCAATTGTACCTTGAATGGCTGCTTGCTAGCTTTTAAGACCCCGGGCGCTACACATCGAACTAGGAGGTAGAACACAAGCACTAAACATATTATTAGGCCAATTAACTGGGATGCCCCATGAAACCATGACCCTAAACCTCCAAATTTGGTTTCTTGAAACCAAATCCCATGAGGTTTTGGTTTTTTTGGTTGTACATAAGCAGCCTCAGCAGCTACTCTTTTTTTTTTTTTTTTTTTTGTCTTTTGTCATTGTTCTAAATATATCTATCGCACAACTTTGCCAATTCAACTTTTTATAAGTGTACAACTTATTGACAGCAATTAGAATAATCAGCCGTGCAACCCTACCTTAATCAGTGTGATATTTCTATCACTGTTAACCCCCTTTTCCCCGATTCCCCTGCCCCTGTTAACCACTAATAAACTTTGGTCTCTATACATTTTCCTTTTCTTGTCTTTTTATGTGAATGAGGTCATACAACATTTGTCCTTTTGTTATTGACTTATTTCACTCAGCGTAATGTCTTCCAGCTCCATCCACATTATAGCATGTATGAGGACTTCATTTCTCCTACTGGCTCAGTAGTATTCCATTGTTTATGTCTGTACCACATCTTGTCTATCCATTCATCTGTTGATGGGCATTTAAGTTGTGTCCACCTTTTGGCTATTGTGAATAGTACTGCAGTGAACATGGGTGTACAAGTCTCTGTTTGAGTCTCTGCTTTCAAGACTTTTGGGTATATACCTAGAAGTAGAATTGTTGGGTCATATGGTAGTTCTATTTTTAGTTTTTTGAGGAACTGCCACACTGTTTTCCACAATGGCTGTAGCATTCTTCATTCCCACTAACAATGATTAAGGGTTCCAATTTCTCCACATCCTCACCAGCATTTGTTATTTTTGTTTGTTTTTATCTTACCCAGGGGTGAAATGGTATCCTGTTGTGGTTTTTGTTTGTATCTCTCTGATGGCTAATGATGCTGAGCATCTTTTCATGTGTTTGGTGGCCATTTGAATGTCCTCTTTGGTGAAATGTCTTTTCAAGTCCTTTGCCCATTTCATGATTGGGTTATTTGTCTTTTTGTTATTAAGTCGTTGAGGTTATTAGATTAGTTTCAGATACATGGTTTCCAAAGATATTCTCCCAGTTGGTACTTGCCTTTTCACTTTCTCAGGGTAGACTTAGTAACCCATACTGAAAATCAACAACTAACTCATTTTTAGCAGAGGAAATAGAAATAGTGTATTGTGTCATTGGCTTACCTATTATTTTAGTCAAGACCTGAAACAGTCAACAATGGCCTTCTAAAAAACCATGCCCGTAATGAGTAATGGTAACATAAGTGAGAATTGTCTACCCTTGGTTGAAGTTTGGGCTGCTTCATTAAGATGAACTGTGTTATGTGAAAATATCAGTATAGAGGTTCCCTTGAGGGAGGGAGTGTACAAATAACAGCTCTTAGATACTTCAAGAGGCTTGGAAAGGCTTTTGGAGACAAGAAGAGTGAATGTAGGAAAGTTCCTAGAGGAATTACGTCTAGACAGAAAATGTGAGTAATAGATTACAGGGAATTAAAATGGACCGTAATCCCTAGAGGGGTATCCGAAACGCCAAACTCGTTGGCATTGAGTCAACTCCAAGTCATAGTGAACCTATAGGACAGAGTAGAACTGCCCCATAGGGTTTCCAAGGCTGTAATCTTTACAGAAGCAGACTGCCACATCTTTCTGCCACAGAGCGGCTGGTGGGTTCAAACTGCTGACCTTTCAGTTAGCAGCCAAGCGCTTAACCACTGTGCCACCAGGGCTTCTTTTAAAAGGGTATGCATGCCATTTAATCCATAAAGGGAATAACGACAAGGAAGGTTTTATTGTCAGGGAGTTCTTTTGTCAGTGAAAATCTTTGCCTTCACCTTTCTAAATTACTTGGCATTGGAAAATGCTAGCCTAGGCACCGAGTAGGGAAAATTAAAAGGATCTTGATGCAGTGCTTCCCAGAGAATTTCATTTTAGCACCATTGACTTAAAATTAGCGAAAAGACTTTCTGATTGGTGAGGAAAAGCAGAGACTGTTGAGGATTGGCATGGAAGTCATTTGTCGGGCTGAAAAATATTCTACTCATCCAGTTGCTTGAAGTGTTTACCAGTGTTTACCATATGCCAGACAAACTCCACTGTGAATCTAAGAGAAGTGTGAGCAGCCTATTGTCTCTAGACTGGTAACTTTGAGTATATGTAGACAAGCCAGGGTTGGTACAAGCACGTTCCAGGTGTCTGTCTCCAGCCCAACAAACAATGTAGAAGGGAAGGCTGATTGCAAGTCAGCACAGGGTGAGGCATCCTTTTTGGAAAAGCCTTATGCTTGCTTGCTTCGTTGCTTCAGTTTATTTCCATGAAACTATTGGTTGTTTTCCTCCCCCTGAGCACTCTCTTCTAACACAAGCAGGCACGATGCCGTTATCTGTATGGGCCCACAGAGCATCATACCTGGTCAGGCCCAGTGTAAACTGCTGCAGTTCTGCCTTCAAGACCATCAGCAGTGTCTTATGACCACTCTCTCTGCGCCACCTCCAAGTCCATCCGTCAGGCAGCAGAGTTGACTCTGCTTGTGACTCAAATGAGCCAGCCAGAGGAGGTGTTCTGTTGAAATGGGACTGTTGGCTAATCAGCATGAATACTGCTGAGGAGCCAAGACAATCCTTTCTTTTTTGGTTTTTTGGTTCAGTAAAACGGTACCTGCTGTTGTGGTCACGTCAGCTTCCTTTTCTCTCTTGGCTTGCTCCTTAAGAGTGGTGGGGTCTATTAGTTTTAAAGTTCACTCTTCCCAAGACCCTGAAATCTAATTTTTTTAACTGAGATGCAATTTACAATGAATAAAAGGTACAGATCTTATATGTACCATTTTATGAGTTTGACAGTTGTATCCATGAGTATAACCACCACCCAAATCAAGATTATAGAACTTTTCTGTCACCTAAGAAAGTTCGCTGATGCCCCTTTCCAGTCGGTTCCCTGTCCCAAGACCCACCATAGATGAGATCTGTCACTGTAGATTACTATTGCCTGTTCTTGAACTTCACATATATGGAATCATTCAGTAATAATATCTCGTTTTAAGAGTAGATAGGAAACTTCAGTGGTTATTATCTCTATCTTATGCCTCCAGTCAGGGTTAGAGCTAGAATGATTCCAAACATTTTTTTTTTCCCCTCTTCTTAAAGACATCCAAAGAAGATTCTTTAATCTCTCTCCCCTATATCAGTAACAACAGCATGGGTAAGAAGACCTTTCTGTTGTTTAACCTCATTGTCTGTTAACATCATTGAAGTCCATTTCCTTTTTTTATAATGTACCTAAGCTAGAAAATGTAGCCATCATTTATACACAGGTAGTATTTATGGCCAGGAGTGGCCCTGATATTTGTTGTCAGTAAAGTATGTGATAGAGGAGGAACCAGTTACACATTGCTGATAACATTGAGGAACGATATTGGAAGGCTGGGGATTTTGCTCAAGCCCAACACAGTCATGGTTTTAGTCAAAACCCGTCCTCCATTGGTAAATTCATGAACCAGTGACAATTAATATATAATTAAAAGTCTTAGCACCTTTTTGACAGATGTGTTTAAAGCAATTCTATTTAGTCATCCTCATT